TGTTATCTTAATACCCCCAAAAGGATAATTTTATTCAATATATCGTGTATAACCGACGTCGTAAAAAAAATTTTAAAAAAAATTACATCTGAACAAGCCTGCTCTGAACTATTTTTTTAATACTTCGAACTTCGTTACAATGGATACATCTCTCTCTCTCTCTCTCTCTCTCTCTCTCTCTCTCTCTCTCTCTCTCTCTCTCTCTCTCTCTCTCTCTCTCTCTCTCTCTCTCTCTCTCTCTCTCTTTCTCTTTCTCTCTCTCACACACACACACACACAAAAATACACACACAGATACACACACGAAATACGATTAAAAACATATACTACTTGGTCGCAGTATTAATCATGATATCTTGTACACATTTGCCCTCTAATTACTGCTATGCAAAGGATATATTGATACTACCCTGGTGATTCATCCCACTGGTCAAAATCCAAGAAAGTCCAGATCTAGTTACATGAGATCCGCTGGATCAGTCGATGTTACGCTTCTCGTTGAAAATCACGTGTCTAACATGGGGCCGTGCTCAGCTGGACTTCCTAATTAAGACTTCCAACAAATACCGATACCCAGGCGTGGTCCACCGGGATCCCTCGTGAGCATACCGTTATATTCTTTGCTTGAGAGACCTAAAGGACGGGTGGGGTCTTATGGATATAAATTAATGTTGACTGAACTCGTTACATCTACTTGCACGGTATTTTATTCTGACCAAAACAAGAAGTTACAAAATTCTATTATTACGGTTCCATTGTTACAAATAGCATCAATAAAATTCAGGCAATGTGACAAAACATGTATTAAAAATATCAATTCGGTTCGATGCCACTAACTAGAAATCTAATTCAAAGGAACTATGGTCCCGTGCACATTTTATATCATTTTTTTTATAAAATCTATTGACGTACTCATATTCTATCTGACGCAGATTTGTAATCAAACATGCATCATATTTTTCACCCAAACGTTCTCGTCATAACAAGATTCTTTTTCTTTCTTCTCTTTTTTACGTTTCATTTTTGTCTTATATGCGGCGACATAATTCAACACAGACGCACAGCCCGACCTGGCCCATGCCTGTAGCAATAAAATTCTGGTGATATTGTTTAAACCGCTAAAATTAATAAAATCATATCGAACACAGCTCTAAAAGGAGCAGTTGATTTAAAAAAAAAAAGACAGGTGACAACCGGTGCAAACAGCTACATATACCGTGTTTGTGACTCTACGATACATCCCTTCTTCAATTACAGAACAGTGGTAGATGCAAAAGTAAGTGTTTACTTGCCATTAACTCGATTCAACGTTAGGAATATGTTCCATCGAAGAATTAAACATTTTCTTCTTCACACATAAGCGAAACTCAGTTTGAAAACATGTATACTATGCGGCACAAACGTAAATGGCGAAATATGATTGGCTCAAAAAGGTTATACCTGAACGTAGATGTGTCCACTCTGACAAAATTCGCGAAATTCGCACGTTTCGGAGCCTGTAACTTCAATTTGATGCAACGTAAAATATTCAACAATGGCTTGATGGATAGAAAAATATATCTGGAGTAAAGCAAGCCATAGAATATGATCGCATACCGTTAGAAACGAAAATAACAAAAGGAAATCTAGGGTCATGGGTGTAACGAAGTGTTCGGAAGTTACAAACCTTCTCTCTTATATAGTATGACAGAGAGTGTCCAATGTCATAACGGGTCATGGGGGTAATCTTAGATATTTTTGTCACTCTGTATGAATTTTCCCTTAAGATTATTGTTTTTGCTTTTTTAAACATCAAGCTCGCGTCGAGTACCTGTGATGGATACATGTAGTTTGGATTTCAGGCTAGTCTGGCACCAGTTTGGACTATCTTAGCATGCAAGAAGAGTAACAGTCTATCAGTAAGTCACTGCGTCACACACAAAAGACTCATTTAGACACAATGTTTTCATTTTTGTTATCGTGAAATGGTGAAATCCCTCAAGCCAAAACTCATATAGTTTATCATTTTGGACTGTATTCATGGCTTATGAAAGGGAAGTCTCTTAATAAGTTAGGAAACAAAAGAAATCCCAGCTTAGAGCCTATGTAAAGTTTAAATAGTATCTCATCACTGGACAGATCTCAGATATAAGATAAGTGTAATACGTTCAAGTTTACTTTTGTTTTTTAACATTATGACAATTGACTGCCAGGTATAACAATGAGATCGATAGACAATAATGACGTTAACTGCTCTGATTTTATCTCCATTTTATACTTTTGTAATCTTTTGAAGAAGTAATAAACTGAAAGCTATAACAACTGAAAGTTATAAATTAGATGCAGCTAGGGTCGATCAATTTTGTTGTACCCATGGGAAATGAATTTGTTTTTTTTTTGCAACACCAAGATAGTCTCTTTCTTTGGGGTTAACCTGTACAGCAAAATTATAAATTATACGTTACGCAGATTGTATATACATATTTGTCACAAGTGACACAAAGTGCAATTAGTTACATAATGGGGCTGGACTTAAATTATAAGCCTCGGTTAACTGGTTCAAGACAAAACTGTGCATATAAACAGAGTTCTAAATAATGTGAAGTCAAATTATAGAACCCTGAAATATGTTAAAAGTCTAAATTTATTTCAATCTTTTGATATATATATATATATATATATATATATATATATATATATATATATATATATATATATATATATATATATATATATATATATATATATGAAAGGATATGAATGTTGTATTTTTGCCTTTTCAATTTTTCAATTTCAGATCTTGTCGGTGTAAAATAGCTGTGTCAATTTTGCCAGAAGGTAATCGAAGCCATTATACGAAAATATTTTGCTCTGTTGCGTAATCAGAAGAAAAAACACATTAGGTTATAATGTATTAAGTTTAGATTTTATGCTACTCTCACGGTAGATTTTTCCTGCGATTATCAACCACTTTTATCTTGACAGTTGACAACATCAATCAATATTCTCTTTTAAAGTCAAGGATGAGATCTTTTTTGTTTAAAGGAATATCGATTCATACCTGTAAATATGGACAGACATCACTTGGTCAGCAAATATTAATAATTCTATTTTGGCTTTAGTTCTGCTTTTTAAAGTCCTAAAGAATCACAATTTTCTGCATTATTAGGAGTTAGTAGCCTACTTGTAGTAAAATATTTCTAATCATGTAAAGTTGAATTAAAAATATAACTGGCAAACTTCAACCCAATAACAGTTTATGAATATACATATAAATCTGTACGTGACTTACACTGCGGTACTCGAAATAACATTTTTTTGGAGAAAAAAAAAACATCGTACTTATTTCAACAAAAAGGCCTGTTTCAAAATTGTATAAGAAATACTATAGAAATAACATTTTTATCGTTTTACTGGTTACGATAAGATGTCGTGGAAGATTACTGAATAATGGTAGTTATTCTTGGGACTACCGTTGAAAACTACCATAATCCAATTAGTCAATTTCATCCTCTACCGTATATACTGATTTATAAATCCGATGAAACGTCTAAGTCCTGGATCTGCTGTCTGTCGCATTATGCGCCTGTTGAACCGCTTCTCTGCGAATTATTAGGAGTTATCAGTATAACACGCAACAAATACCCCGATTTTATGCTACGGTATGTCAGGTTCTGTGTTTGTCTTCAGTAGGACTATACTTTTACGTGAGTTTATACGGTAGGTAAGTATGCATCATACACCAGACTGGTTGAAATATATTCAAGTGCTGATTCATTGCTTAGGCAACCAATTAGTCACATGAGTTTTTAAATCGTGATGCACGTGGTGACTTTCTTTTACATTGATATATGATATATTTGCTGTGTTTAGCCTATTCAAAAAAGGTTCGTTTCGTTGCTTGTAAATTTACCGTGGGCATGATTCCCGACATGAATGTCCGCTAAATACTTTGTTCATCACTTAGGAGTATCTTTGTAAATGGTTGTTCTCCCTATAAATTTTTTTTCCTTATGCTGTTTTTGGCAGGCATCGACAACCCCAGCAAAATAGATAATCGTGAAAAATCAACAAATATTTTAATTAATAATAAATGAATAAATGAATATATATATATATATATATATATATATATATATATATATATATATATATATATATATATATATATATATATATATATATATATAATTGGAAAAATGAAATGAGTGCCATGGTGCCATACAATCAAGCAAGAACAATTTTGAGACTCAAATGGACAAGAGTTTAACGTCATCGATTCAAAAAGAATCTTTCTTTCTGTTGGGTGCGGAGGGGGGAATAATTTCAGACCAGTATTGCAAAGTGCCATTTGGGAAGTTATTTCTCAATGTTTACTAATTGTCACAGGTAACTTATTGTACAGGTATCAATTGTTATGTTTATTCTGCAGCTTTATTTAAAGACCTCTTTTACATACCGGTTATTCTAGGAGAGTATGAATTAAAATCGAATAGTTAATTATTCATATTGCGTGGAATGACCTAACAGTTACTTATCAGTTTTTAAATTATTACCATTCAATGACAGTTCTGTCAACCCCTATGTCATGTTTGTTTATGTTAAGACAAATAGATATTTTACCGTACACGTTTATGCTTTGAATAAACTTTCACTCATTGATAGGAGCACACTATCCGTAGATGAGTATAGTATTATAGAGAAACGTATTAATTTAAAATATAAAAAAGAAAATGTCAGGCCTTAGCTGACATTTCATGTTGTTGTTGTTGTCAATATTATTATTATTATTATTATTATTATTATTATTATTATTATTATTATTATTATTATTATTATTATTATTATTAGTAGTAGTAGTAGTAGTAGTAGTAGTAGTAGTAGTAGTAGTAGTAGTAGTAGTATTTATCATTAATTAATTAATTGATTTATTTTTTAAATTTGTATAATGGTATGTTCATTTCTTGGTTTATACACCTCCATATCCTTATATACCTCAACAGAGAATTTTAGACCGTTCCGGTGGCCTAGTGGTTAGAGTGCCCCCATCGGATGAGGGAGGTCGCGGGTTCGAATCCAGACATACCAAAGACTAATAAAAATTGTACTAAAAGCTGTCACACTAGGAACTCAGAATTAAGAGGTTAGCGTTAGGATAGGTCGGCTTGGCGTCACAATAATGTGACTGGTTTCGATCGACATCATGCTACATCTTTGCAGCATGAGACATCATTGTTGTTGTTGTTGGGCTTAACGCCATTTTTCAGCACACGATAGGCTATTTATGGCGGCCAGTATTAATGGTGGAGGAAGAAACCGGGAAATCACCGGCAAGAACCACCGACCCACGAGAAGCTACTGGCAAGCTTTCTCACATATCCACATTCGCCGAATCCTAGACTCGAACCCACGCAGACAGAGGTGAGATGGCAGTGATCCGTAACGGACAGCGCTTAAGACCACTCGGCCACTCGGAGCCCCCCTGAGACATCGTTATAAACTGCCACATTTCAGACATTGTAGCGATTTGACTGAATTATTTTTAATATAAAGCTACGATAAAAATCCATTTCATGTACACACACATTTTTAAACAGTGCCTTTAATCCAGTAGTTTATTAATGGCAGACTTTTGTAAATACTATTTTCTTTGAGACCAATCATGTATTTGTTGTGCAGCCTCAGACCACAATTCTTGATGTTACTCAAAATCAAAGATATACTCCCAAAATAGCTACATTTTCAATGATGTGTTTCACAGCTGACTTGTTATAATATTTTACAAACTGTGTTGAAAAAAATGATCTGCAAGCTTCAAAATTTACAAAATCCTATAGACTTAAAATTTGCCAGTTCAGTAATTGAAGACAGTGCTACGCAATATGTCAATTAAATGCATGTCATTCCTGCACTTTTTTGTTACTTCCTCAAAGTCAAACTGTTTACCGCCATAACACAAAGTACAAGTCGGTCGTCCCTTGATGAAATGTTTTTCATGAACTAAGAATAATGTTAGTAAAAAGGTGTACAATAATGAATTGTTATACGTAACACAGTTACATTAAAAAATGTATCATAATAAATGTCTATACGTAGCACACTTATAGTAACAAATGTACAATAATGAGTGGCTATACATAACACAGTTAAAGTAACAAATTACAGTAATGAGTATCTATGCTTAACACAGTTTTAGTAACAAATGTGCAATAACAAATGGTCTTACACTGCACAGTTATATCGCAACGATTTCTAAAATTTGTCAGTTTATAGTGATGTCTACCACTGGAGCATCATGCCGCAGACATGTAGCATGGTATCCCACCCAGTCACATTATCCTGACACCAGGACAACCAGTCCTAAGACTAAATTCTTAATGCTGAGTGCCTAGTGAGGTAGCTGTTAGTACCATTTGTTTTTAACAGTCTTTGGCATGACTCGGCCTGGGTTCGAACCCGTGACCTCCCGCATCTGAGGCCACCGGAACGGTAAACAATCATTATATCATCCATCTCTTCTCAAGTAATTTTTATACAAAGCTGTGTAAAATATAGATTGACTATCTTTAACTGGGACAAAAAACGACATTTTCGTTCAAAGAAGATTAATATTTTTTATCGTTTTATTTTTCCACATCAAACTAAATTAATACATTTATTCTCAAAGTATTAGGGTCTAATTATCTGAAATAGTTGTATCAAAGATTACAAACTATTTGTCTTGATACTGTTTAACATTTCATACTTATGTATTGTTATTCATAGTAATTATACCTAGTTCCTAGTAATTATTCTTTTTACATGGTAATTATTCCTAATTCATAGTAATTATTCCTATTTCATAGTAATTATTGCTTGTTGATAGCAATTATTGCTAGTTCAAAGTAAATATTGCTATAGTTCATACTAATTATTGCTAGTTCATAGTAAGTCATTACAAGTTCGTAGTAATAATTGCTAGTTCATGCTAGTTATTTAGTAATTCACGCGTTGAAAAGAATTTTGTATGATATTTTCTTGCATGTGCTCTCGGTGAAGGTTGACCTAGTTAATGAAGTAGACGGGTTACGTACATTTGGTCCATCCCTGTTGTGAAAACAGAAAAACAAAAGGAAGGAGTTAGGTGAATATAATTTTTAACTCGTTTAATATCTTCATTTGCCTAAACGTTTGAAAAGGAGATTTGTATGAATAATTTAGTCGCTCGTATGCAGCCGATAGGGAGTGCAATTTCTTGTGAACAGTGATGTGAATACTTTGGGGTAGAATGTCACTTTTTATATTTTTATTATAATAAATAATTGCTCCCCACAGCAGATTACTATCAATAACTGCTTCCTTTAGCATTTAGGCTGGTAACGAGATGGGTAGACCTTGTTTTCACTGCGACATTGTCTTCCTTCAACAAATCTTGGATGCAGTCCAGTTATTCTTCGAATTAACCAGTAAAATCTGACCCAAAAAATATTGATTTATTTATTTACTTCAATAAATATCTTTCAAACTTTTGGTTTAGTTTACTTAGCGGCATTCTACTAATTTACTGCAATAGATTTAGTATAAAGGTCGCATATGCACTTACTTAGAAAGCTACTGCATTTTTAGCTGCACTGAAAGTTTTCGTATAAAATATTGACTTTGAAAACGGAAACAAGCTGAAACATTCTGTATGCAATAACAACTGCACTTGAATCAATTCAAGATGCCAAAATAAAATAAGGGATATTTATCAGTCGCCAGCAACATATCGACGTGACTTGAGCAACGTGGTCACATATTATTTTCTTTCAAGGCCACCGTGTACACTGCAAAGAAAACGCTGATGTTTTAGCAAGTTTTTTTTTTAAAATATATATTTCAGATAACTGCCTACATTCATTATTTGTTCATTTCTGAAATTCGATCCTCACAAAAAACTGTAACATAATTTCATGCTTATTGTAGCTGACTTAGGACCAATGAAATAATTATGTTTTCAAATACTGTGCATCGCCGCGGAATTTTTAGTACCTTTGAAAATATATAATTATTTATTTCGTATCAGATCATACATGTTGCATTATAAATGTGTGGTAATAACTCTTTTATTAAAAAATAAGGTTCTGGATTTAAAAAAAAAATGAATTTTTTGTGTAACATATTTTATGTATGGCTTCAGAATATTTATTTTCACGCATTCTAAAACTAGTCTATACAAGCTGGATGTATTTATAGTTTTAGCACATGTGAAGACAGCCATGTAGAGGTTTACAAACACAACGTTTTTGTATTTGTTTCTTTGTCGTATATATGTTTTGTATTTGCCTTTGAAAAAGACTCATTAAGAGTCGAAAGCGCTTAGGCTAGTTAGTTACTAGTTTCGTACTGTTCGTCGTCAGTTTATTGCATCTATTTTAATTAATCCCTGACACACGTGATCACTTGGTGGATCCAGTACGCTTAAAAGGGTTGTTATTCGCCATATGAATTGTATTCTTTATATATATATATATATATATATATATATATATATATATATATATATATATATATATATATATATATATATATATATATATATATATATATATATATATTATTTTTCTTTATATATATCTTGGTATCGAAAATATCTCTTCATGATGTCACATGTTACAAATGAGGTAGTAACATGCAAATGAATAATGACCGAGGCTTACGAATGTATTACAAAGACATTGCACTAAAAAATATTTGAAGTTTCGTTAAATAAAATCAGTTTTATGTCTCGTGTGATAAATATAATCGGTCACTTGTGTTCATTTGAAACCAAATTTAGGAAACGAATAGAATGATAATTTGCGGGCCTAGCGAACCTTAACTAAAACAGAAGACTTATACTAAATCATCCGGTTTATTTCTTTTGATGCTGATTGAGATCATGTCAGATTAGTCCAAAGGCAAAGGATCAATCATCAAAACTTTATTACCGATCTTTTGTATTATGTAATGCTCAGACCAAAGACATTTTTAAAATCCCATCTAGGTAGAGCTTATCGGTTCATCTTATCTCAAGGCACTCTGTTCACCCAATCAGATAGACACTGCACCCCTTAAACCCCTTTGTCTAACGGCTCCTTGATAGGCTATTGCAATACTCCTTTGTTTTAGTATTTAAGCCTTTTTTCAGGTGCTACAAACTTTGTGTTTTTTGTAAAAGGGTTCAAATGGAGCGCGTCATAGATCTTTATTTTATAAAGTGATAACAGATAGATGTTATCGATATCTGTGGGGGCTTGCTCCACTTTGAAAGATGAGATTCCATTCTTCTGTTCTGTTCAGCACGACAACTGATGAATTTCTACAGACCATAATTGCTGGGATTTAAACAAGGCTAGACCTTTGAACCAATTCTTCAAAAACATGTAGCTTTACTTGTGACGAGCTGCGGACCACACAACCATTGACATAACTTGCCTCAATAACACAAAACCACAGTAATATTGGAGATAAAGTGGTTTGTTGTTCCGTGATGAGACAAGAACCAAAACAGCTATCCAGTGACCCTGATGCTTTAGACAATGCAAACTACAAATCTGAAATGAATGTACAAAACCGCAAATTATCTGCATCTATTAAACGCAGTTTCATCCTGTCTTTGTTTTTTGGAGAATGGCGTTTCTTTTTTTTTAAAAGTCACTTTTATGCCTCATTGGCTGTATCATGCCGAGGAAACATAAGCTATTTGTCTTTCACTATGGCTCCCAGAGGCAGTCGACCTGGCCTGGACGAGTATCGAACACACGAACTTTGGATTATGTGCCTAACCCTCTATCATCTTAACTACTGGGCTCCCCTCTCGATTAGGGTCATATCTAAAGCAGTACCGGTTGATTGCCAGACAGTAATTTGTGTGAGTGGTTTTGTTTCCTCCTTATTTCTTTTCTGTCCCAAATATATGGATATAGCAGCAAAAGCATTGTTAAGGGATAGCTTTGACATATATGTTCTGAAAATATTGACTTGTTAGCCCGTAATGTATAAAACATGCTTTCATGTGTTACATTCCAGAACGCGACTTGCTATCAGTGCCGGATTTAGGACAAATAAGGCACTGTGAAAAAAAAGTT